GAACACTTCTGTTCTCCCTGGTCACTGAAATTTTATTACAGTTAACAATAGCGGCCCATGTCCCTGCTAAGTGTGCTAAGTGGCTTACATGCCTGGTCTCATTTAATGCTTCCCAGCAGCTATAAATGCAATAGACTACCCTGACCCTGGAAATAATTTCTGCCTCCTCTGTCAGAGTTTTCTTTTCTCCTTCTCTCCTGTTTTCTCCCTCTTTCTTCATCTCTGAGATGTTCTGGTTGCATTTTTACCTTGCCTGCAGACTGGCCTAACATGTAAGACTTGTCGTGAAGATTGTGATGGGAGACATCTTTTCAGGTGTCTTCCACTTTAGTCAGAGGGGAAGTTATGAGTGTCCCTCTCTGCTCTCCGTCTTCAGGACACCTCCCAGCGGATAGGGCCAGAACAGTGACCTCAGACCACAGCTTGAACACTGATTGCAAGTCATCCAGCTCCCGAGGTGATAGAGTGTCCTTTCTTTAAAAAAGGAGATAAAAATAGCTAAGAAACAACACTTTTCTTAGTTCTCTGAAAGGTTGGCATCCTTCCAGGAGAGACTTATGTACTTTTTGTACTTGGAGGAAAAAAAGAGATGGGATTTGATCCAAGAATGGTCCTACAAACGAGAGAAATATGGAGCAAGCAGCTGGAGCTGAGCGGCCAAGTGGTACCACCAGCTGCAAGCCCATTAATTAACATTCCCTGGTATGTAGCAGCTCCAGTGACCTTGATTCTTGTTGAATTCACAGAGATAATTTTTAAAGAGCCTCTACTTTTCTCGCTGCAGTGTATTTATCCAAGGAGTACCTTGCATATTTCCCCCCCATCTCTGCGAGCAGTAAATTTATTCTAATTGCAGAGAGATATAGTAAAAGCCTGATTGAACACTTGGCAGTTTATAGAGATTTATTTCTGGGACTTAAGGGGGTTTTTAGAGTGTGTGACTAGAGCGGGGTTGAGGGGAGCTGGGGAAAGGAGCCCAAGAGAAAATGTAGATTTAATGGATCTATAAAATGACCCCTCTAGATAATGGCTTGTTCCAAAGGCTCTTAAACAGCCTGACCCAAACCAGGGTTGGTGACAGCCAGTCCGACACGAGGTGTCTGAAGCATTGCATATTCCTCTCCGGGTTTTCAGGTTTCCATATGAAATTCATTATTCCCCAGGCAGAGGTAGGACAGGGGTGAGTCTGTTTTCCAGAGAGAAGAAGCATATTTAACTACAAATTTCTAAGTACTAAAAGCTATGAAAAGAGGCAAAAGTAAACCTCCAGCACCTGCCCTTAAAATCACTCTGCCTTTCCTCTAACCCTCTGGAAGTTGCATTCCGAATTTTAAGCGGAGGATCCTGGAAGGGGAATCAGGAGAGCCTGCCCTTTGTAGCAGGATTTCTGTCCTTCAAAACCCAGTTATCCAGGGCTCTTCCAGCCCATAATGAGACAGACAGACACTCTGTCCTCTAACCGGGCCTTCTGCTCAGAATCGACTTTGCCTAAACACACCACTGAACTTTTCCACGAAATCCTTCTAGGTTTTTGATCCCACGAGTGGCATTCATCTTTTCTGTAGCTGCTTTGCAAGTTTTGCTGTGGACGAATTTTAGGACTTTCAACAGTTAAATGTGTTATATTGTAAATCTACTCACTGTTCTAAAATGGAGACCTTTGTTCTGGAGGAAGAGGCAAGATAGGAAAGGGCACAAAGTAGACGCTAGTGAGGAAGAAGGCTGGAAAGTCAGTGACTGGCCTCTTTGGCCAGAGGCTAAATGAGGTGTGGGTGAGCGGTTTGTGATGTCCCCTGCATTTTCGCTTTTTTTCAGGAGTTGGCATAAGGAGACCTTGGGAACATTTTTTTAAGTTTTTGTGAAGTTTAACACACAGAAGAAAAAAAAAAAAGCCATTTAACAAGTTGTTTTAAAGTTAACACCCAAGTCAAGGTGTATATAATATTGCTAACTTTCCCCCATAAGCCCCTATCATGCTCCTCAAGAGAACTGCTATGTGGCGTTTATGGGAGTCACTTCTGTGCTTTTTAAAATAATTATTTAGCATCTAAGTGTGCATCTATATAGAATAGTTTAATTTTATATCTTAGAACTTTATATAAATGGAATTCATGCCCTGTTCTTTTGTACCTGGCTTCATTTGCCATTACGTTTGTACGAGTCATCCATATTGTACGGTGCTGTCATTCGTATTCACCGTGGCACAGTCATGGTGGCGCAATATTTTTTATTTTCGGAACTGTTACGTGTACTGTTGGGGGACGTCAGGGTTATTTCCAGTTTGGGGATGTTGCTAATAAAGCTGCGGGGAGTGTTCATAGGCGTGTGTGCAGGTGCGCATGAGAATTTGCTCGGCCGGCCTGGTGACCGTCAAACAATGCAGTTTGAAAACAGCTTGAATCAAGATTAGTCCTAGGTTTAGGGAACCCTGAGTGGCTCAGTCAGTTAAGCTTGGCTAGGCCATAGTACCCAGGTATTGGGTCAAACATTATTCTAGACATTTCTATGAAGGATTTTCTTTTTAGTTGAGATTATATTTTTAGTTGAGATTTAGTTGAGATTTACTCAAAGTCAGTAGACTTTGTTTAGACTTTTTATTCGGTAGACTTTGAGTAAAGTAGATTACCCTCCATAACGTGGGTGGGCCTCATCCAATCAGTTGAAGACCTTCTAGAAAGAAGACTGACTTCCCCTGAGAAAGAGAGAATTCTGCCAGAAGGCTGCCTTTGGATTCAAACTGCACCTCTTCCCTGGGTCTCCCGCCAGTGGACTACCCCTGCAGATTTTGAACTTGATATCCTGTGGGATCATGTGAGCTAATTCTTTAAAACCTCTCTCTCTCTCATTGGTTCTGTTTTTCTGGAGAACCCTGACTAATACAGGTGGCATGATATTGGCATAGGATTGTCTAATAGCAAAGGAAGAGAAAGCCTCTCAGCTTAAGTAAAAGGGATTTATTGTTGATAGAGTGGAATCCCTTTGAATTAAACATCAGGGAATACTTTTAATATTTAGTATTACCCTCCTCAATAGCAAATCATTATAGCACTGTTTTTATCTGAGATAGTTTCCAAAATAAAAATGTGAGCGTAGGGGTACCTGGCTGGCTCAGTTGGAAAAGCATGCATCTCTTGATCTCAGGGTCATGAGATCGAGCCCCATGTTGGGTTCTACTTAAATAAATAAAACTTTAAGAAATCTGATGAGTGAATGTATATACAGTTTCTCCCCAGTTTGTGAGTGTCATCAGATGCTCTCAGCCAGTGAGATCTAGAGCAAAAAAACCTATTCTGACTCTTCTCAGCCAGTGAGCATTAATGTGTACTACTGTGGCTGTTTCCAGCCAATAAGCTGAGCTCTTCACTATCCTGCCAAAGTTAAATGTGTCCTATGATGTATATTGGTTTTTTCTGCCCTAACCTCCCTTTCTGCCACCACTTTTGTGTTCTGGCAAACAAATCTGACCCAGACTGGCTGACCAAAATGTGTAGCTAATAATACTGGACCCACTGCAAAGAAATAAAAGGGAGAGTGTTGGGTTAGATGTCAGAATACAGGTTTTCCAGAGGCTGTAGATCCTCCTACGCATTGGATAAAGAAGCAGAGAGTCTAGCTCAGCAAGTAAATAGGGATATTGGTGGGAGTCCTTTGACTTAGGTAGGTCTTCATGATGGGTCAGGGAAGCTCAGGATTGGCCAACAAATATATGAACAGGAGCTGGAAGAAATTATGGAGGAGAGACTGGAAGAGCGATGGCCGGTGTGCAAAGCCTGCGTCACATCTCTAAGGGGACTGTGCCAAGGTGGGGCTCTTCAGGCTGCTGCTAAATAGAGAGGGGTGACGGCCAGGCCTCTGCTTTGGGTCTGTGACTGTGCTGTCTGTGCTCTCTGCTTCTCCTGCTTCTCAACCAGCTTCCCTACCACATTCTCCCCTCCGCAGATCAGCCACCCTCTGTAAGGCTCCTGGTTCCCACTGCTCCATCACTTGGTTTGGCTTTGGGTGTTTGTAGCAGGTGTCACTGATGTCCTGCCCAGGAGTGGTAGACGGTCTCCTTGGACTGGCAACCCCTCACCTCAAGTATCCATACCTCTCTGCTTCTCAAAGAGCTGTTTTGTTTTGTGGTGTTGTTGTTGTTGTTGTTGTTGTCGTACCAGAAAGCTTGCTGGGCACCCCCAAACAGCGGATGTCAGGAGTCACTGCATAAATGTCCCCACCTTCCGGTTCTCCAGTGGGACAATTCTGAGGTGTGCGGTACACGGTTTCTCAGGGTGTCTCAAGAGGGAATAAACCACAGTTGCCCGTGGTGGTAATCTGCTCGTTAACGTATCTCATATTGGCTTTTCTCCCTGCTTTGCCTCACTTCCCCCACCCTCACTTGTGCTTCCTTGTATGACCTCCCAAACAAACTTCCTGCACCGAAGTTCTTGTCTCAAGGTTGGATTTTGGAAGTCACAGTTTTATGTGACCTCCCAGTGGCCATACTGTCTGCCTCCTAGCCCTTATGACTCTTAAGTTCAGAATTCTGTAAGCAAATCTGATGTGTCCAGATCAAGGGTGACACATGCGTTCCTGGTTCGCTTAGCTATGGGGTAGGGTGGGGAGGCAGTGGGCTTAATGTTATTTAGGACATGAATGACATTTCTCGCGCATCTGACTTCTCCATGCCAGGTGTTGTGCTGGGCAATTGGACACAGAGAACAAACCCAATTTCTGCCCTTAAAGAGTTCTCGTTGGGAAGTAGACTTATAAATAATACTTACATCACAAAATGGTAAGTTCTAGAACAGTGGGGGGAGGGGTAACAAATGTAATAGAAGTAAAATAACTATAGGTTGGGGCATTGAAGGGTGGGTAGAAGCTCATCCAGAGAAAGGGTATAGAGAGGAGTTTCCAGGTAGAATACAAGGGATGGAGCAATGAGAGAACACAGGCTGTCTCTGGCTGCCAGGCAGTGTCTTACCTTAGCAACTTCTCTTTGTGTTTCATTTTCTTCCTAACAGGAACAGTGAGGCACCACAGGAGAACCTCAGGTGCTCTGGGTTCAAGCCTTCCGTTATTTTCCACAACAGTGGGAAGATGTCCACATGTTTTGGAGCCAAGGGACATATAACTTTACAGTAGAGGGAGAAAAGTTAGAGGATGGTGGAAAATGGAAAATTGGAGCATAGAGCCAGGATAAGCAGTCCGTGTTGTGTGGCTCATAGCAACTGCTCCTGGAGTCATCAGAAGTAATATTCTTAATCAGATCAGTCAATGCTTTGGAGGAACGCCTGTGACTCTTCTGCTTCTGGAAAGCCAAATGGCCTGTCTCCCACAGACCTGCAAGAGATTTCCCCTCACATGGAAGGGACCTGACAGCAAGGATGACTTTGAAAATATTTAACCACCGTGTCGTAGATACCAGACCAGTCAGATGACACAGTCCACAGACATCGGGATAGTTTCTTCAAAGTGTGTGCAGATCGAGCCCCGGCCCTGTCTTAGGGACTGTCAAACCCGACCCTTGTTTGGCAGGAGAGGTTGAAGGACTAACCAGAGACCATGCGGTGACAGAGCTAGGAGTGGGAGCCAGGTCCCCTGAATTCACCCTCCAACCCTCTCCACTGCACATCTGACTCCTCCCTGGCCTCAAGGCCTGCATGAGACAGGTGTCCTCCTGGTTCATCCTAGACTTGACTCATACCCATGGCTGCCCATGGTCAGGGTGTCTGATTCTTGAGGGATCCCAACTGGGGAAAGCTTTTGTATTTCCACTCAGAAATATAGCTCTTACACTGCTCATGCTAGTGTTGAAAATTCTTTATCCACTAGTAAATAAACATTATTTGTGTTTTGATCTATATCTACTATTTGTGTAATGTATGTAATTACAACCATAATTTATTTGCAAACATAATATGTTACATAACATATGGGAAAGGATGCAGGGGAATAGTCAGTTTTTTTAAAAGTTGCCTATCAGATGTGTAATATGTCACTATTATTTTCCTTAAATCCACCTGCTTCTGATTCCAAATCCCCATCCTGCCAGGCTTGTGTGAAAGGAAACTATCCACCTCCCTCTTTTCAACCCAGAGGCTTGTGCAGAAGTCTAGAGGTCTTATGCAACACCAAGGCCCTGCCTTATCATCATTATTCATTTGTTCAACAAATATTTATTGAACACCTACCACGTGCCAAGTCTGGCTCTAGGAGCTGATAAGTAGTGATGTACAAAAGAGGTTAAATCCTTGCCCTCTGTTCCTCATTGGCAAGGCTGGGATCGGGCCTCCCCTAAGAGCTCATGCAGCCCCTCCCCACTAGACGCTGCCTATCTAGGCCCTGCCAGGAAGCAGGGAGAAGATCCCCATCTAGATGATTCTGCTCTCCTTCCTGAGGGGGATCTCTTCTCCTAGACTCATCACTTCTCAAAGACATCCTCCCTGGGCCCTCCCTCTCCAGACCACCCTTCATGGTCCCTCAAGGCACAAAACTTTTTTCAAGATCATAAATGTTATGTTTATTTCTTATTATGACATCCATACATCAGAATACTCAGAAGAAAATTATTTTGTATTTAATTCAATGACGTTTTTAAAAATTATAGTAAAATTCATGTAAAATTTACCATCTTAGCCATTTTTTAAGTGTTCGGTGGCATCGAGTATCAAGGTGCAAAACTTTTACCTGGAGAGGCTGCATCCAATTTTTTAGCTCTGCCCAAATTTTCCAGGCAAAGCATTGCAAAGCCTGCAAGTCTGTTTGAATGAAGGGAAAGGGAACCAATATAATATTTTAGTTAACCAACCTGACATATAAACATTGTCACTGTCAAACCAAGTTACAGTGTCAACTTGTCCCCGCTGAACTTTATGCTACATTCCTACCATATACATTTTGTCTACACATGTGCGTGTGTGCGCATGCGCCCACCTGCGCATGTCCGGCAGGTGGGCCTCCGGAGACTCTTAAAGGTGGTTCTGTCTGTTGCCGGATCACTTTCTAGTCAGAGTCCTGCTGCCTCTTCCTGATCTCCTGAGAAGGAGATTAACCTCCACACCACTTCAACCTAATTCCCGCTGTCACTAGCTGGGATAAGCCCATGCTGGGTCAGGTATTTTCTGATCAAGGCCCAAAGATTATTTGGGGATATCTACATTGTCACTGGGGACACCGAAGACTAAAAAGCTCCCAAGACAAAGAAGAGTGAATCTGTAAGGACAGAATTTTGTTCATCGCGACAGGACAAGATTTTTGGATGGAGGAATAGTTTTGTGCTTCACTCTCTTTTAAGGATGGTCATGTGATTTTCACATGTTTATCCAGCAATTTAAAAAGTGTGTGTTTGCTGGGTAGGGGTGGTTTGCAGCACTTTTCCTTGGCAATTTCATCTTCTGCAAATGGTATAAACCATGACTGCTGTGCCAAGGACTCTGATTTCTAACTTCCCCCGAGTTCTGTTTTCATAAATCCAACTTCCTGCCGGATACCTCCTCCAGGATATACTCATGGAATCTCAAATTCAGTATGTGTACAACCAAAGTCATCGTCTTTCCCCCCAAACCAAACTCTGTTCCTGGTGTTTCTATTTCCTTTTTTTTAGAGAGAGAGAGAGAGCATGCATGAGGGGGCGGGGTGGGGGGAGGGGCAGAGGGAGAGGGAGAGAGAGAATCTTAAGCAGGCAGCATGGAGCCTGAGGTGGGACTTGATCTCAAGATCCTGAGATCATGACCTGAGCTGAAATCAAGAGTCAGATGCTTAACCAGTTGAGCCACCCAGGTGCCCCCGGTGTTTCCATTTCTATTAATGGTGCTGTTCTCCCTGTTCTTTGTGTTTACAATCTTCAAATGATCTCTGGGTCTTTCCCTTCCCTTGCTTCCCACATCTGGGTAATTAGAACATTCTCCAGATGCGATGTCCATAAGATCTCTCAATCCACTCCTTCCTTTCCATCCCCATTGCCAGTGCCCTCATTCTGGCCCTCCTGAGCTCTTACCTGAACCATTACAGTGGCTTCAAAGTTGGTTTCTTCACACTGGTGTCTTGTCAGTCCTGTGATGGTCTAGCTCAATCTTCCTGGTTATGTTTTCAGTCATATTACTAGATGGTGAGGACTGAATTTTATTCATTTTTATATCCCAGTGCCTAACACAGTACCTGGTCCATAGGAGGTACCCAGTAAAGGCTGGATTGAATTTATGTTGTTTTTCTACTGAAATTTTTTCAGTGGCCTTCCATTGCCTACTGAATAAAGCTCCAGCCTGGCATTCTGAGCCCTCCATTTAATGGAATGGGTTATCATTTTACTAAACTAACTGCTTTTTTGCAAATATTCTCTCTACTCTCCTATCTCACACTCTTTGCTGGTACTTTCTCTTCCATTTGGAATGCACGTCTATTAAAATTCTGCTCATTCTTCTTTAATTTTTTATATTTAAAAATTTTAAATGATAAGCATATATTACTTTTATAATAAAAAAACTCTCAACATTTTAGGGGCGCCTGGGTCATTCATTTGGTTAAGTGACTGCCTTCAGCTCAGGTCATGATCCCAGGGTCCTGGGTTCGAGCCCCACATTGGGCTCCCTGCTCAGCGGGAAGCCTGCTTCTCCCTCTGCCTCTGCCTGCCACTCCCCCTGCCTGTGCTCTCTCTGTCAAATAAATAAATAAATAAATCTTAAAGAAAAACTCTCAACATTTTAAATTTCGTATGTTTGAAATGTTTCATGAAAAAATTTGAATCCTCCCATCTGGACTATTATATAGACATTCAAAATTGGATGTATATTACATGCTATTGTTTTTACATTTTTTATGTTTGAGATTTTCATAATAACATTCTTAAAAATACTTGCCAAGTCACATAGTAATTATTAGTGATGTCCACTGATAACTTCCCGTTCTCCTTCCTAAACACTTCCTTGGAGTTACGTGTGGCCCTGTAACTTGCTTTGGTCAATTATGTGTGAGCAGAGGGCACCTGGGTGGCTCAGTCGTTAAGCGTCTGCCTTTGGCTCAGGTCATGATCCCAGGGTCCTGGGATCGAGTCCTGCTCCGCAGGAAGCATGCTTTCCTCCACTCCCACTCCCCCTGCTTGTGTTCCCTTTCTCTCTGTGTCTCTCTCTGTCAAATAAATAAATAAATTCTTTAAAAAAAAAAAAATTTAAAAAAAAATTATATGTGAGCGGAAATGACGTAACTTCTAGATGGAAGTCCTGAACAGCCACTGTATGACTGACCATATTTTCTCTCCCACAGGTTCTGACGATGAACAGATGGTCAAAACTCCATCAGCCCGAGTCCCTGTGTAAGTATGACCTGAAGCAGAGGCTCCAGGAACTACACCTTTGTTTTTCTAAGGTTTGGGGGCTGTTTGTGACTGCAGCATCAGGTGGCCAATTCAGACTGATGCAAAGGAGGAGCAGCTTCAGGCCGTGTAGATCACCACATACCCTGAAGGCCTTCCAATCACAAAAGAACAGAATCATTTTTTAAATGCCTTATTGGACTTGCAAGCAGTAATAGAATTGTCTAAGGACAGCTCTTCCCCCCAAAAGTGAGTTGAAGCTAGAGCTGGGAGTCAGAGTGCTAGGAAACTAAGAAAAGGGGTTGTCCTGAGGGCCAGGGTAGCACTGTAAGAAGCTTTAAAGCATCAGAAGGTCGGGACTCCAAGAATCTAAGATTTCGGCATTAGGCCAGGACACTCCAGAAGGGGTAGAAGGTTTCAGGTTGGTATTTTCCCTCTGCCTCCCACCAGAAGCAGAAACAAATCCTCACAGTAGGAAGGCCATTAAGATCCACGTGTGAGTTCAAATCCAAGATGACCAAGCGCAGAAGGAGGCAGGCCACTGAGAGAGAGACAGTTGGCAGAAAAACACACATCCAGTTTAGAACCCAAGAACTTTGAATATTGGAATTCTCAGATACAGCATATATTTTTTAACTTCCAAAAGTGTACAAAGCAATGATTAAGTGCTAGGCATCACGGCAAAGATTTTTTTTTTTTCAAATTTAACTTATTTAATTCTCATAACAATTCTATGAAGCAAGTATTATTATCACCCCCATTTTAGAAATGAAAAAGCTGAGGCACAAAGAGATTAAGTAAATTGTCCCAGGTCAACCTTACTTAGGTAGTAATGCTGGTTTGGATCTTGGCAGTTTGATTCTAGAGTCTGCACTCTCCACCACTATGTTTTGCTGCCTTTCTAACATAGAATCAGTACCTATGAAGAATTTAAAGAAATAAGGTGAAATACCAAAGAGAAGCAAGCAACAAAAGCCACTCTGGGATGACCAGGTAGATTTGAAAAAAGAATAATAAAAGAACCCCTAGAAATGAAAATAAAATGGTTAGAAGTAAACATTTGATGAACATGTTAAATATCTGAAGAGGTAGGTCATCAGTGAACTGAAAACCTATCTGCAGAAAATATCCAGAATGTTGCATGGGAAAAAAAGGAATGGGAGTATGAAGGGGAAGGTTAAAGATACAGAAGTGAAAATGGAAAGTTCTGATACGCATTTAATTGGAGTTTTGGAGGGAGAGGATAGAGAAAATGGAAGAGATACAATATTTGAAGCAACAGTGGCTGAGAATTTTTCAGAACTGACAAAAAGACCTAAATCCACAGATTTAGGAAATACAGCCTCTCCCTAGCAGGATAAATTAAAAAGAAGTTTATGCCCTAGACATGTTTATAGGGAAATTGGAGAACACCAAAGACAATGAGAAAATCTTAAAAACAGCTTGGGAGAAAAGAAGCATCACCTACAAAGGACTGACAATTAGACTCTTAGCGGACTTATCAATAATGACAGTAAATGCAAGGAGACAGTGGAATAATATATTCAAAGCGTTGAAAGAAAATAACTGTCCACTGTGTATCCAGAAAAGCTATATTTCGTGAGTGAGAATAAAGTGAGGACACTTTCAGATAAACAAAAACTAGCAGAACTTTTACTAAGGGAACTCACACCCACCCCTCAAGATTCATCTCAAATGTTATTTCTTCCATGGAGCTCTGGCCTGATTCTCCTCTTTTGAATTTTAGTAGCATTTTATTTGATCCTGTCTCATGATGATCATCAGATACACAGACCGAGATTATATGTGCCTTTTCTTAAGGCCCCCCCACCCCCCACCCCCATTGCTCTTGCCCTCTCTCATTAAAGACCCCAGGAATGCTTTCGTGTCTAACTCACCTTAACTTTTTGTATAATTCCTATCATGATTTGTGTGTGTAGTAGGTGTTTAATAAGTATTTGTTGAAGCCCACTTGTCAGTCTTCTCCTGTGTTCTCTCTCTGTGTTTCATAAACTACCCGTTCCCAAAGATGTTTCCTTCAAAGGGGGTGTTATGATCAAACCCTCTTCACAAATGCTGCATAGAGCACTATATCTCCCTGGGGGCAATCCACAGTGTAATTTGTTTAAGTCAGCAGTTCCCCAGATTATTTGCTCATACAACAACTCCTTCCACTCTTTACCCCATGGATATCTCAAGAGAATGGTGTTTCTAAGGACACACTAACTACAGAAAACAATGACTTATTTGAGTATCCAAGCCAGAGAGTCAACATTTTGGATCCCAGTTCTGTTAACAACTAACCACATAATTAGTTTTAAGTCACGCGTCCTCTGGCTCCTTATTTGTGACACATCATAAGCAGATCATATCATAAGCAGTCCCTTCAAACTCTAAAGTTCCAAGAATTAAAGAGCATTGCCTCTTACAATCAACCAGTCAGTCATTCCACACATATTAAATTCCTCGTATGTGGCAGTGTGCAAAATACTGGGCATGTAATTGGGAGTAAGACCAGCATGCTTCCATTTTGCTATCAGTTGAGAATGATTTTCTAGAGCTCACTATTAGAACATTGTTCTTTGGCTTCCAGAGCCAAATTTCTTCTGGTTAAAAATTGAGCATTTACTGTCTCCTTTGTTATGTATATCAGGTTGTGGAATGAATCTTTAGAATCAAAATTTATGGTCTATCTAGGCTTATGACTCTGTTTTACCCAAGAGTTCCACTGTAAGAATCAAAAATTTAACATGATCACTAGTCTTTAGATTTTCATCTTTTCTTCCGTAACTTTGCATCTTTCACTGTCTTTGTAAAAGTTCCATCCTCCATAGTTTAAAAAGCAAATTCTAGTGATATGGTGTCAACCGAGCACTATTGTATATAGACACTGTCCTAAGCATTTCACATGTATTATCTCATTTAATCCTTATGACAACCACGAGAGCCAAGTGCTAATACGATTCCCATTTTACAGAGGTTCAGTAACTTGCCCAAAGTCATAGAGCTGGTGAAGCTGGGCTTTGACCCAAGGCAGTATGGATCCTGAGTCCACACTCTGAACTCTAATATTTAACTGCTGCTATTCTTCAGATATTGTCCAGAAGGTTTTCTGATGGAAAATTAAGGGTTAACATCTCTGAAGAGCTGAACAATCATATGGGATTTTTAAACGTCTAACTCCAGCCAGGTAGTATAGTGAGGAGGTAATGAAAAATTAAAAGCCCTTTCTTTTTTTTTTTTTGGCTAAGTAGTAATCTTTGTGGTTCTGAATATATCCATGCGCCAGAGAATTGCACTTTAGATAATAAGTTAACAAAAAATTGGTGGTACAGTTTAAACCTGACAGCTCTGTGTGTCTGATATGTTCTGCAAAAGTAATTTTAAAGATAAGACTTTACCCTCAAATCTGAAATAGGTTCTTTAAACATTTCCAAAACCATCCAGTATTTATGGAATTGTTTCAATTATATGGAGAAAAACTATAGTGCTAAGAGGAGAAGCATCTTTTAATCATAAAATATTGTATTATCAGGAAAGAAGCAAAATATAATCAAAGAAATGTGCACCAAACAATGTCAGTGAGAATTCTTGGCATTTACTGCTAGAAGCCATTTTGCATGGAAATGAATAAAATATAAACACAGTACTTTATCTAGGATACAGCAAGAAACTTCAAGATTGTAATGTGCATTAAGATAACATTCCAAACCTATCCTTTCAAGTTTTCAGCCAAGAATTTGTTTTTACAATTTCTTTGCAGTTGGCAAACTGCTAGACTCTACTTGAGATATCAGTTTTTCATGCTTATGGTCCCAATCCCATTGTGTGTAACTATTAACTTACTATATGACCTTGACAAACTCACTCCCCTCCACCCAACCCAAATTAAGGAGGTGGCTCTCTTAGGCCCCTTCTGATTTTAAAATCCTGTGGTTTTAGCCTATGGATTATGACGTAAACACCACAAAAAGTGCTTGCTAGAAGGGATTGGATTTTTTAACATTTGGGCTACTGAAGCATCTTTAAGTGACCTACCTTTGAGCCAGTTATAAAGAGAATGTAAGGCACGGCAGCCAGGGCCCCTCAGTGATTTACTTGGTTTTGGTGCTGGTCAGCAGCTGCTGTGTTTGTTTCAAGTCCCCAAGCACCTTCTGTCGTTCACAGAGACAGTCCGTCCTTGGGCTTCCTTGACTCCCCAGTGCGAAAGGGGTCTGAGAGATTCTGGGCAAAAGAAGCAGTGATCACAACTGCCACTGACCATGAGTTGACCTTGAATGCCTTCTTAAACTGCAGGGAGGTGTGGACCCTGTGGTGCCCTGCCCAGATTGCCTCCTCCAGACTGAAGTGCATATGCCCCCGGCTGCCTTGAGGGTTGGCTGCTGCAGTTCTTCAGCTCCGACCCTCTCAGGAGAGAGTTTTTGGATGAAGAGAGCTGCTTTGCCCAAAGCCACCCCACTTCCGGGGTAGCCTATGTCTAAGGACTGCAGATTCCATGGAGTGGCTGGTTAATGGCCAACCCTCTGCCTCAATAGGGTCCAACTCGGAGGGGCGGCGTCAGTGCCTGAGCTCCCAGTGTGGGCTGAGAGGTGCAGCTTCTCCCGTGGCCCATAGATGTCGCCCCTGAGCACCCCTCCGTAAACTTCCTGCCCCAGCATCTCTTTCTCAGAGTCCCCTCCTGGGGATCCAGACCTGCCACAGAGACTTATTGACCTGAGTTCCAACTGGGGCTCTGCTTAGTTCAATGCTGAGTCTAGGGGTAAATTTTCCTCTTTAGCAAAATGGAAGTAATAACTACTTCATAGCATTCTTTATTGTAAGGAAATGAGGAAATGAGTCCAAAGCACGTAGGAAATGATTAGCAGCAATAATTTAACATTTATTGAGCATTTACATGTCATGGCAATGTACTTCACCACACAAAAACTCCATGAGAAAGATAATATCCCTATTTCACAAATGAGAAAACTGAGGTGCAGAAAAGTTAAATAACTTCTCCAATGTCACACAGCTAATAAAAGTCAAGAATTCAAACCCCGGCAGCTGGACTGCAGAACCGGTGTTCTTAGCTAAAACGCTGCTGCCTCCCATTGCTAAACAAAAAATTTTAATGTATTTGCGTGACGATAAATGAAAGCCCAATAAAGTCACCTGATTCCAGAAGGACCTTTAAAGCAAGGCATTGTAAAAGAAAAATTTTACAAAGAACTTTTGTACTCCTATCATTTATATTTTTGTGTTACTATAGATTATGTTTATTTTTGCTTCGGATCAACCCTTTCTCATCAGGGAAGTGAACGAAACGGTTGGAGGGGAGGGGCTCCCCCCCCCCCCCGCGATGTGCCAGTAGTTGCTCCATGACACCATGTATTTTTGCTGTTTCTATTTTAATGAAACGTGCTGAATTTCTGTTTTAATGATAATGTACTAAGTATGAGGTCGAAGAATACATAAAACAATGACATGTTTCACTATTAGGAAGTAATTTTGCATACTAATAGGGTTGAGTTATATCATATTACCTGGGCTTTTAAATATCTCCCTCCTTGGGTCATCGGGAAGTACGCTGTAACGGGGAGAGGGGCCCTCTGGCAAAGGCCCCTGCTGTCCACTCCTGACCCCTCAGTTATAGTCTATTTTTGTGTTCGCTTCAGACTAGCTGTCTGTTATTATCCAATGGAAGGCCTTTGTTTCACATTTCACTTCTAACCTAACCAGATTTATGCCATAACTTTTATCTTAGGGGATAATGTGTTAACAATGCTTGTTTGGATCCCTGTTATACGTTTAAGGTCAGGGAAGTCTGTTTTACTCTTTAAGGCACAATCTGTTAAAGTTTTTATGATTTGCAAACAAAGTGGTTTTTCATCTTCTGCTATTAGATAACTAAGGTATAAGAGAGCTCCTTCTACACCAAATAAATTAAACATCTAAATAATTTACAGCTCCAGGTATGTTTGCCAGACTAGCATTACTGAATAAAGTCAACAGATTAAATGTTCCCTTGGCAATCAGTAAGGGTATGAGATACAGCACCTGGGCTGCTCCATTGGGTCTCGTTATTAAATCACAAGCAAGAGCTCAGAATCCCAGGGTCCCAGGTGACAGGTAGGAGCTGACTTTGGAGGATGGAGTCATAGCAGTCATTACCTATGACTTAGGAAGTGGGAAACTCTTAGCACAATTGAGATAGAGACAGAAAGAGAAGGAGAGAGGGAAGGAAGGGTGGGGGAAGAGAACGAGACAGAGAGAAGAGTGTTGGGGAGAGACTATATGTTTCAATGAGGGAAGATTCTAGTTACTTATTTATGTCACTAAATTGGGAATTCATCAACATAACACTGTGTATTTGTACAATCTTAGAGTAAAAGTTAAAAAGAGGGAATATTTTGTATGTGGAAGCCCAATCAATCACTGGCAAGGTCAGAACAAGAACTTGCTAGAAAAATAGACAGTATTTCCTTCTTTCTAATTTCTTAGAAAGGCTTCGACCAGCAACTGCTTTTGCTTAGAGAAGGAAGGTTTGGTCTGCAGAGCTGGTGGGAGCCAGAGAAACATCGGAGCACAGGATCCGAGAGGTTACATGTAATATCCAGTCTAATTCTTGGGAAGGTTTCAAGTGCCAGAAACCAGTCATCCCATCTTTAACAAATGGAATTTTTTAACCTAAAACATGGTTTTAAATTTGCACACATTTAATGATGGGATGATCAGTGGAAAGATGGGGTGAGGAGCAGCAAGTATACATTTAGTCAGAGGAAATCCCATTTTTAGATCATATTCATTGAGCCCAGGAGACAAAGAGGGTCCCATTTAAAAACAATGAATACCGCTCTCCTCTCTCAAGGTCTCGTGGGAATGTTAAGTGCTATAAGGAAAATATGAAAGGCAGAACCGTGCTTAGACTTCTTAACTCTTGTTGGCACAGCTTCTCTGGAGATGAATGGGAGAGGAAAAAGGAAAAACAAACATTCCAGGTGTACCGTATACTGCTGTCTTTCGTAATTACTAGACTTCCAGTTCTATGATAGCCCCTTTGGGGTGGTGTAAGACTTGGAAGGAGAGGGGACAAGGGGTGTGTGTGATGATTTAGCATGCCTGACCTACAAAGTATCTGAATTTAAGGTAAAGCCATTAAATTGGGTTCATTGCTGAATTCTCTCGGGGCACACTAACCTTTTCATTTTCATTTAGGAAGAAAGGGTAGAAGAGAAGCTTCCCATGCCTGGTTTATAAATACGGCCTTGAAAATGTCCACAGACGTATTGTTGTCTTGTTGAGTCTGCAGCCAGGAAGGCAGAAATCACTGCAGCAAAGCAGGTGTGAACGTCCCCCTACTTCAGAGGCAGCTCTCTTTGAAGCTGGAAAATCAAGGACGCTGGTACCTTCAAGGAAACAAGGATATAATTATCACAACCCCCAACTGGCCAGTGACCTTCCATTCCTCAGGCCACCTTACTCCCTTCGCTGGCACCAGCCCAGGTCCTCACAGACTCAGCTCTGTGTCCCAGACCGCTCAGATCCAGCAGCAACCCCCTCATGCACCCTTTGAAAGCATTTGTAATCTCTTTCTCCTGCACTGGGCTTGCGGACATAAATCCGCCAGCCCCGGGGTGGGGGGGGTGGCCCTCTGAACCCCCCATGGAGGGAGGCCCATTCAGGCCAAGTGGAGTCTGAACAGCTTAGGAGTAGGATTTATGCCTCCCCTCACCTGTGCCGTCTGTCTGTGGCCCCCACCCTGGTCTGGTTTTGAAGGTTTGAACATGACCCCCCAGCTTTTTGCCAAGCCTGCCAGCGTCACCTCAGTCACGGGGGTGGGGTGGGGGGTGGTGGGCAGCCGTCTCAAGGCCCTTGGAAGCTAATAACAGGGACTCTCAGCTTCTTTGTTATATTTGAAATGTTGAAAGCAGAAGCCTAATAAAATGAGTTCAGAAAAACAAAATGAGCAATAAATTATCATTTGAAAAGAGTGGCTAAAGAACTCATCTACCCTGAATACCTAGGGGCTATTTCGCAGCTACAGCAATAATCCGGCATTTGGATTCCCTTCACTGTGCAAAAAACCTTGGCTGTGTTCTCTTAGCACAGATTCTTCCCAGCTTCTAGGAGCCAAGTGTCCAGAATCAAGAGTTACACAACACTCCCCACCCAACTCCTTTACACACACACACGCACACACACACACACACACACACACACACACTCCCTACTCAGCCTTGGTCCTAAGGGGTCCACTGAATTGTATTAATTCTTTTTGACCATAAAGAATTTATCCTGCATTATCATCAATCAGCACTCACTGCAAATTTACATTTTATTTATTTTAAGATAAGAGTAAAAGTCTACTTCCTTGACCTCATAAAGACTACTTATGCTAAACTGATACATTTAATGAAATAACACCAGAAGCATTATTCCCTGTGAAATCAGAAGCAAATTAGGGATGCCCTTATCACTGTTGTTCTTACTCAATGTTTTGGAACTTCTAGACCAGTCGTTGCTTCTCAGGGCACATTTAGCAATGTATGGAACCAATTTTGGTTGTCATAACTTTGGGAACTGGAGTGCAATTGGCATCCAGGGTAGATGGCTAGGGATGCTGCTAAATATCCTACAATGCACAGGACGGCCCCCACACAAAGAATCCTCCAGCCCAAAATGTCAATTGTGCTGAAGGTAAGGAACCTTGCTCTATACAATACAACAGCACATGAAACATAAATAAGAGAAATAAAGCTGAGAAAATGACTAATTTTCATTGTCATTAATTGCGAAGAACATGTATCACCTAGGAAAGCAAACCCCCCCAAAATTAAATAAACATTCTTAAAGTTCATAAAATAGTAAATAATGTAGCTTGATAAGATGTTTTCAATTATGTGATAGACTTAAGAGTCTTTAAATTTTCCTATGGGTTTATTTATCTATTCTACAAAAATTTCCTGAGAACAAAAGGATTTGTTTTATAAAAGAACACTTAGGAGGTATAAGATGACTTTTACATTTTAAAACTATGGAAAAAAATTTAAAATTTTAATAACTGAATCTATAACACTGTAATACAATATCATAGGAAACCCAAGGGGACATATCTTCCCCAACTATAAGCTGGACTTGAGGAGGACTTTTTTAAAAAGTTTGTTAAAGCATGAAAAAATTGTTTAGGGGGTAGTAAATACACACACACACACACACACTCTCTCTCTCTCTCTCTCTCCTTTTAGCAAAAAAAACTTCCTCCGTATTTTTTAATGAGGGTAGTATTCAGATGCATCATTGGAAATCTAACTAGTCTATCACAATAGATCATTATGATCCAGCAGATGAAGATTCTTGAGGGGAGGGCCCATATCTTATTAATATTTCTATCTCCATAAATGACACATACCAAGAATTAATGAAATAAGGAGAAAACACTAACAGTGAGAGATGGTCTTTGAACTCATTAGTCAAAAGTTAACATAGACCCACAGCAATTGTAATTCAGTGTCTAAGAATCCACATCTGAAAGGCTGAATGAATAGTCAAGATCTTAATAGGTTTTGCCTCATGTTGCAGCTATAAAATGTACAGGCTAAAAATAGAGTGAGTGAACAGAAATCAACCAGTGATGTTTTACTAAGAACAGTAAACTCGATTTTTATATGTTGAAGACTTGAAAGAGTCTATAAATATCTATATGCACATAACCTAAATATATCAATGATTTCTTGATCTTTAGTTCATTTTCATGACAAGCCTTCAAAACTTGAGGGGAAGGGAGGGAGGAAGGAAACAAAGGAAGGCCAGGTGGAAAGTCACAATCAGGAAATAATCAAAAGTTTTCGCTCTACCCCTTCCATCCAATCTCACAGGCTCTCCCGAGAACCTTCCGTCCTGAATGTTTTTTTTTTTTATTATGTCCTGAATGTTTAATAGCATTAATTCCACAGTTTCAAGGTGTTGAAAACCCTACAATCCAGTTTAATGTCCAGTTCATTCAAAAATGCCGTATTGGGACAGATTCACGGTCCGAGAAGCCTCAGACAAATTCACCAGGGAACATATTCCAGTATGTTCTCTTGTTCAGTTTGATATAAATTTCAAAGTTTAGGGACAAGAAAAAATCACAGTTACTATTCATTGAGCACTTGGTATGTGCCAGACATCTTCCTACAGAACTGTTTATATATTTTCTTGGCCAACCCTCACGATAGCCCTCCAGATGAGGAGACAGATGTAATGGAGGTAATACAAGAGGGCCACCCATAAACTGGCAGAGCCAGCCACACCTGCCAGCCCCCAAAGCCAGACTGCCACATACCACACTGCAGGTGTCTCCAGAACATCATATTTCTCTCAATAACCCACTTCTCATGGATTTGTCATAAAATCTTCAGATCAGCAAGCATTGCTGAGACCGGGAACATAAAGGAAGTACACGAAATAGTCCTGGGCTAGAAGGACATGCTGTCTTCTTGGAGAGACATGATAGGGAGCAGGTGGTGAATAATACCAACTGTAAAGAGTGCTAAAAGAAAGTTAAAGCATGTGTCAAAATGGATGGTATAGCTAATAAACATGTGGATGACCAAGAAGCAGAAAGAGAAAATACCAGATGGCATTGTTAGGGAAAGTCTCATTGAGGACCTAAGGATTTGATAGGACTCTCACAGGATTTGGACAGATAGAGAAAGAAGTAGAGGTTGTTCAAGTCAGTTTCTGCCCACCTGGGCTCCTAGACAAATGGTGGCCAGGCATGGAGCTGTTCAGGATGCAGAGCATGGAGCAGAACTTGGCCAAGAGACATCACCCAGGGTGACACCGAAATCAGAAGCCAGGAAGACCACCCCTGAGGTATCCATATGGAGGCACTGGGCCGAAGGCAGGAAACAAGAACAGGGCAAAATGTTGGAACTAGAGAGTTCAGTCCAAAGTCAGAGAATTGGGGAGGGAGGGAGAAATGAAATCTGGAGAGCCTTCCCAAGCTTCTTCATCCCAAAGGCAGACACCCTTAATCAGACGTGGAGCCCCAGCTCTGAGTGTGGAGCATGCTGTGAAGGATGTTGAGGAAGACTGGGGAAGAATGAATGTGTGAGTATGGTCTGGGGTCTAAGAAAGGACCAGCCAGTCTAGAACTTAGGGTGCATCTGTAGTATCAATTGGATAGGCGAAATAAGGCCAGTTAAGAGACTAGAGGACCATAGGCAACAGCCAGCTTATCAAGACACAAAAGCAGGCCTAGAGTCTGATGAACAAGTATAAATTCACATGATTAATCTGACTTTTTGAGACTGGTTAAGTCCTCTTTCTTATTCCATCACCTTCTAAATCAGGAATCTCAGCTCTGTCCTTATCAGCTGTATGGCCATGGGAAAGTTACTTAACCTCTCTGTGCCTCAATGTTCTCATCTTTTAAATAAGCATAATGATAGTATCTACCTTGTAGGATCACTGTGAGGATCAAACCGGTTCATATATGTCACTTGCACAGCGCAGAGCCTGGCATGTGCAAGGTCAATGTGAGGGTTTGCTGTCTATGGTTCCTTCCCCATTTCACCATTGTATAGGTTGAGGATTCACAATGGGGGGGGCAGGAAGGCGAAGAAGGGGAGGGTATCTCACAGCCATTCCTTCTCTGGATCACCTGAATTACAAATGCACCTTTTGGAAACTGTCCAGCTCCTGAATATCTTCCCTCTGTCCAGAACAGCCCAGAGAATGCTGTCAAGTTTGCTATAAAAGACTGCACCTTTCTAACAGCTTTGGATTCCAGTATCCCTGCCTGGCCTCTTTCCCTGTTAGCAGTAATACTGGGCTGATGTCTAAGTGAGCAAGTCCCCTTCTGAAGTTCTCACAATTACAACCACTAGCTCAGAGCTTCCACCATGCTTTCCACGTGATGTGCATGATTTCAGCATTATTTGCCCATCATTGTAAGAACAATGAGGACATCTGCCATTTCTTCCATTATGCTGTGTTGGAGATAGACTGAAGGGACAAGGATAAAACAAGGGAGAACAATGAAGAGGGTATTGTAATAATCAGATAAGAGGTGAAGGTTGGCAACAAGAGAAGGTAAGGGGTGGTAATGAGAGTAGTTAAAAAGGGTCAGATTGGCTTGAATGTGTTTAGAAGGTATAGCCAATAGGATTTCCCGGCAGACTGGACAGGGGTGAGAAAAAAGCAAAGCAAAACAAACAAACAAACAACCAAGAGACAAGAGGGACCTCAATGACTTTCGCTCCAGTAAATGAGAATGGAGTTGTCTCTATCTGAGATGCGAATGTTCAAGATGTCTGGTTCAACATCCAGGAGTGAAGAAATCTGGGCTGCAGGTAGAAATCAGTCTCAAAAATAGGTCTCAAAGCCCATGCTCTAGCCTAATACCTTACAAACTCGGGATTCGGGGACTTGTACCTATTTTGTATGGGGCTGGGAAGAACAGGTTTCTGGAAGTAACAAGAATGAAAAAACTAATTAGACAATCTCAAAACCTAGTTTAAGTTATGACTTTCAAACTCCTGATCTTCCCAAGCTTTCTCTGATTATCTGGGCCCTTCTCCTACCTTAACTGCTCTCCACTCCCACCTCAAATAAAAGCTATCTATGCCCAAGTTGGTTCTGGCATGATAACAACAGGGCCATCACTCCCAATGGGAATGAATGTACCTTTTCACAGCAAACTTTACAGAAACAGTGGTTCTCTGCTTGTTAACACGCTCTGAGCGCCACCATGAACTCAGGCACCCCTTCCACTCTTCAGTTCTTTAGGCTACTGGCTGTCTGGGCCTCTTGGCCATTTCAGAGTTTTTCTAGGTTGACAAATGAGGAAGATTGCACGTCAACCTAATCATTCAAACAACTCTGCAATGCATCAGGAGATTCACAAGTATCCTTTTCGCTTGAGTTTTCTTATCTAGGTTGTAG